TCAATTTTGTGAAGTCGTCTGAAGATGACGGGGGAGGAGGCAGTAGGGCTTCATCAGGCGTACCAAGTGGGTCTACTGGGTTAGAGGCAGATCATGATGGTGCTGCCTGGACCCTTACATCAGTGGCAGGTTCGTCAGTCGGCGGTGGTGGGCAGGTGTCACGCCTGGCTGTGGTGGTATAGCGAGTGTGGTCTCGAGAATAAGATGCCCCTGGAGCCCAATATTGCCACTGTGGTGGGAAGGGCATGGGTGGTGCCATCCAGGGGTTCACACACGGGGCAGGATCCTGAGAGTATGACGAGGTGACTTTTCTATGACCTCTATTGATTGGGGTCTGAGGATGGGAGATTTGATATGATGAAAACTCCCCTTCAGACCAGCTTCCTCATCACTGGAGGAAGGCTGTGCGGCCCCTGACTGAGCATTTGGAGAGAAGTAGGCATTAAGCAGGGGTGACACCAGCAGGTCCCTTAACCGTGTAAATTGCGGTGCTGGAGCTCCTCTGTGAGGTGAGTGCTGTGCAAGAGGAATCTGCTGTGAAGAAAGGTTCCTCTGCACCAGTGTCTCGAGCATTGTTTCATTGCCAGTCAGCTCAGCGGGAGACAGTGCCAGGAAAGCAAGAATAGCCCGTGGGAGGTCAGGCATGTCAGTATGTGTTGGCACCGCTTCCGCAGCTGCAGGCGGGTTTCGCACGGCGCGGAGGAGCCCGGCACATCAAAAGTGCTCAGATGAGGAAGCGCTGGGAGGGAGGCTGTAGACCTGCCCGGAGAAGTCTTGTCCCGCGAAGAACTCTTTGCATGTGAGAGAGGGTGCTGGGTTTTTCCAGTCTTCTTGTCTTTCTTTGAGGCGGGGGGGCTGCGGCATGTAGCTAAGTCAGCGCCCGGGTCTGAAGCGGACCCTACAGATTTCTGAAGGAGGAGGAGTTTTAATCTCAGCTCCCTGTCCTTGCGTGCCCTGGATTTAAGTTTGCTGCAGTGGGCACATTTTTGGGGGATGTGGGACTCCCCCAAACATTTTATATGTTTTGAATGGCAATCTGAAAGAGGGATGGCATCACTGAGCAGCTCTTAAGCCTGGAGAGCCAGGCATGTCGGAAGCGGCTGCCTCTGACAGGAACGAAGAAAAATATATATTTTTTTTGTAGTTTTAGAGAGAAAAGACAGGAAAATGTTATCGAATTTCTACTGGTAGCAAACTAACGAACAGGGAAGGTATATGAATGAAGGAAGAGAAAAGTCTCTAACGAGTCTGCTGAGCTCCGTCTCAAGCCGGGGATGGTAGAGAAGGAACTGAGGAGACCGGTCGCGCACGCGTACTATTAAGGTACGCTCAGAGCGGGCAGGCAGGCTCTGCGCGTGCGCGACCAATACGAGTACTGCTGCAAAAATCTCCAAGTGAAGGTGGAGGGACGCATCAACACCTGGAGTGGAGCACCCACAGGGACACCTCTCGAAGAAGAACAGAGGGGAAAGTGTTCAGCTGCTGTCAATGGGCCCAGTGCCGCTGAAGTCAGTGTAAAGCCGTTTACACTGATCTGGCCCATGGTAACATTCCTGCCAAAACATTCAGGTCAGTGACCAAGGAGATGCAGATCACCTCACGTTACAGATCAAAAACTATAGTCACTCAAGTTACCCCAGTGTAAATCTGCAGCAACTCTGCTGGAGACGGTAGCAATACTCCAGATTTACACCCACATCCAGACCCTGAGATCTGAGTTTGGCCTCTAATTGCTGTAAAATGCTGTTCCATTTCTATCTGACAAGGAAAGGAAGGCAGTGACATGTAAATCAGATGACACCCAACAGGGAAAACAAACAGAGAAGCATGTTTGGGAATGAACCCAGCCAAGGCACACAGGGGATAGGAGACACATGCCAGTAATCCGATTGGGATTGATCATTTCACTAGAGGAAAAGGCAAGGAACAGAGGCAATTGCAGGGCCTGCTTCCCCGAGACAACGTTGGAAGCTACAAAGCCAGGTGAGCTTAGCTTTTTATGGGCAGACATCTGACAGAGTAGTGCCATGGGGCAGCATGCGCGCTTGGGCAACACAGCGTGCAGTAAAACAGAGGGTTTAAAAAAAAGATGACGACTCTGTTGGATATTGATCCTCAGTAATGGCAACAGACTCCCACGCTCATTACGTGCAGGTAAAACGTGATGGGGAGTGGGAAGGATTGATGTTTTCACTGCAATGAATGTGGAAGGATGGCATCCCTCACCAGGGGAGAGCACTCTCCCAAAACCAGTGGCAAGAATAAACACCTTGGTGCACCTGGTGCACCTACAGCCTGGGCAACACTTAAAAACTTAGGTCGACACAGCTATGGCACTCAGCGGTGTGAAAAATCCACAGCCCAGAGCAATGTAGCAATGCCAGCCTAACCCAGGTGTAGACACAGCTGGGTCAATGGAAGAATGTGTCCATTGACCTAGCTACCATTGCTCAGGGAGGTGAAGTTCCTGCAGCAACGGAAACCACCCTCTGGTTCTGTAGTCGGCCTCCCCACTACAGGGTTACAGCAGCATAGTTCTGGTGCCACAGCTGGGCTGCTATAGCCATCACAGCGTAGACAAGCCCCATCTCCTTGCCACCACTTAACTTGACGATACCACTTATTGTCCCTGCTTTATGTCTCTCTGCTGCCTGTTCCCCCTTTGAAGTACATGATTTAGAATTCCAGTTGCAACACAACACCAATTTCTTCACATGTACCAATTTCAGGCATATGTGCATCCAGGATTTCAGCTCAAGTCTGTCTATATCTAAGAACTACAGAAATTATTAGGTATTTGCTCTGAACAGAGACCAGTTGTGTCCCACACAAAGTCAGCTTACAAATATCTTTGCAATTTACTTCATAAGAAAGTAAGATACTGGGTCAGACCCATGGTCCATCTAGCCTAATATTCTGTCTTCCAACAGAGGCCAATGCCAGGTGCCCAGAGGGAATGAACAGAACAGGTAATCATCAAGTGATCCATCCCCTGTTGCCCATTCCCAGCTTCTGGCAAACAGAGGCTAGGGACACATCACAGTGTGTGGATTACATGTGTTTTTGTGATGCCTGGCATGATGACATGTGTGTTATAAATGGGACGGATAGATGGCCGGAGAGATCCTTAGGTAGTGTAAATGGGCAGATCTCCGCTGAGTTCAATCCACTTCCAAGAAGTTCAATGGAGCTGACTTCCAGGCAGCGACACTGATTTACATCAGCGGAGGATCTGGCCCATAAGCTGATAAATCAACAGCAAAGCAATGTTAAGGTGCTGAATTTCAACACATTACATTAAGGACAGGATTTTCCAAGTGCTCAGGGCTGACCTCCCACTACTCTCATTGGCTTCAGCGGGAAAACTCCCATCAATGGGAGCAGAGTTAGGCCAACACCGCATGCTTGTGAAAATCTCATCCTAGAAAAGCTCCTCTGGCTTTGGTTACCCCTCCCGCTCTGCCCTCACTGGGCCAGGTTCCCTGTCCCTGGACTGGCAAGGCATGAATGGCCTTGGTAGGTGGATTCAGCCTGGGGGAAGTCAAGCAGAGCTTCTGTCGCTGCCCCTCCTGGGGATTTGTCAGAGGCAGCAGTACAGCCTGTGGATGTGGGCCCTGCAGGAGCCTCGCTGGCAGAGGCGGCTGTGTTGATTCACTGCTTCCCCTCATCTCCCCAGCTGCAGGTTTTTACGTCCCAATGTCAGTGGACAATTTACACACCAGCCGCTCCCGGTGCCATTGGCAGATGTAGAGAGAGGGGGCAGGAATGAGTACCACCGCAGCAGGATCACAGACATGAGCCATGGAGCAGCAGCCCGTCGGAGGAGCAAACTCCAGCTCATGCCCACAAACCCACTGTGCAAGGGATAAAAAACCCACCTCTAGCACACAACTAGGGCCAGGGCCCTGCTTCCCTTTGGATCCAGTTTAAACATTCAGTAACCTCATCTCAGGGACTGCCTTCTCTACCCATGACCCTATACTTAGTCCAGCCCGGCAGGATGGACTAGATGACCTCTTGAGGTCCCTTCCAGCCCTACCTTTCTACGATTAGACTCTTTGGCATCTGCACTGAGCACAGTGTTGGTTCCACACAGCAGGTCTCAGTACAGGCAGCCACAGAGGCCCTGGGTTCCCCTGCGCAGCGGTAGTTTGGTCAGTATCCCCGTATCCCTGCAATGGCATTGTGCCCACTGGCAGACAGTAAATGATGCGTGCTGGTTATTTCACCCCGTTTTTGCAGGTGGGACCACTGCACTTCCACCACATCCACACCCAAATTCTTCCATGTCCTTCTTTAGACCCCCTGAGATTAGAGCTCTGCATGGCCAAATTACAGCTATAGGTGAAAGGAAACGGAGGAGGATCGAGGACAAGCAATAGCCCCTGAGTGACGGTTGCCATTAATCCTTATCTCACCCTGTAGATCAGTCCTGCAGTTCTTATATTTCTCCAGGGGGGGCAGCAAGATAATAGCGAGCAGAGTTTCAAAGCATTACATGGGGCTTTAGCCATACAGCTGCCATTACGTGGCATGAAAAACTCATCTGGGGAATGCATGGATTTCCCTCAGATTGCAGTTATCCCTGGGTCTGTGCCGTCTCAGCGCCTTCTTCACAAGCACTTTGGGGAAGGGGGCGGAAAGAAGGGATTCTCTTGCAGTGAATAATCAATTATGGGGAGGAGGAAAATCAGGGATGTAATTTAAATATGCAAATCACTGAACTCTTTTCTGACCTGGGCCACCAAGACCCAGCAAAGTCTCCAGGTATGTGCCAAAAATGTTAGCCACAAAACAAACAGGCTAACTGGACTATGGGGCTGGCACAGGATGCTTATCACACAGGCCACCAGCCTATAAACGGCTGAGTCAGCCCATGCAGCCAATCTCCAGACCAGCTAGTAAATCCAGGGGGCGCAGCCGAACCCAGAGATCAGCAAGCAGGAGTCTGTGCCGCTGGTGAGGGAAGTTACCCTGGCGTCCCCGCCGACCCTGCCTACCGGTTTCTGGATCACACTGGTGTTCACACGGGTCAAGAAGTCGTCGGGCACAGAGGTCCAGTGCCCAGGGCCCGCTGGAGTTCTGTTGGGAGAACAGGATGACTTGGGCAGGGTTTAGCCAGTCGCTGGCATCCAGCTGGCTGCCTTCCAGCAGGATAAAGCGGCTCCCTGCAAGAGAAACACAGGTTGGAAGGCCTGGGACAGAGAGCTCCCCTCAAACCAGTTTCAGCCCCTAAGCTTCGCGCAAGCCAGTTATACGCATCCCACAGGCTAGTTTCAATTATAACTGGAATAACCCTCCCCCACACAAGCAGCCCTGTGCTCTGGGGACGATGTCCCAGAACAGGGGCTTCCCTGGCCTTGCCCTTCCCCCTGTGGCGGCCCATGATTTAAGATGGGGTTCCCAAAGAGCAGGCTCTCCTTGGCCATCAGCTTCATGATGAGTCCTGAGGGTTGCCAACCCTCCAGGGTTGTCTTGGAGTCTCCAGGAATTAAAGATTAATCTTTAAATTAAAGATTATGTCATATGATGAAATCTCCAGGAATTCATCCAACCTAAGTTGGCAACCCTAGTCCTGACACGATGACGTTTGGCAGCACGATGCACCATCCACCCGTCGCGACGCTGAGGGTTGGGCTGGGCAGCTCCATACCCAGCCGGATCAGCATTTCCCCTGGCCAACTCTCCCTGCCTGAGGGTCAGAGGGCAGAGCTGTGCAGGCAGAGGGGGGGCACTCTCACCGTCGGCAATGAGGTGCTCCGGGACGTGCAGGGTGATCTTGACGATGAGCGGGCAGCTCATGTGGGATGAGCACACCAGGCTGATCACACAGCTGGTGACGCTGATCAGGGTCAGCGTGGTCTTGTTGACGGGACTTCTCGGCGAGCCCACTGGAACAGCACCGAACAAAGAGACCGACAGCAGAGACGTCAGAGCCACAGCAGCAGTCACTTACGCTATCACCTCTAGAACACAATCCAAAGAGCCCCCTAGCTCCCCCACTCCCACCTCCTGATCAAACAGAGCAGAGAATATCCTGAAGGGTTCCTCTTCCCAGGGAAACCCTCACCTCTCAACCACCCTCTCTCCTTGGAGGATCAAAGGGATCACAATCCACAGAGTTTGCATTAGTCCCTGTCTTGTTTGGGGTGGTGAGGGAGGGCAGCTTTGCTGATTTCAAAGTGGCTGTGCCCTGAAACTGCTTCCACAAGCAGGAAAGTTCTTGGTTATTAGCCCATACGTCTGCAGACTCAAGTTCCCACGGGAATGAACGGCATTCTATGGAGCGTTTAACTCCGGGCTTGGAAAGCTGGTCGATCTGTCCCTATCTCAAACACACACTCAGAAGCAGCAGCCGCTGTCCGCCCCCACGGTGTCGGGCATCCTTCAGTTTCTGACCTACTGTCTCTCTGACAGTTGGCACAATGCCCTGGCAGGGGAAGAGGCAACTCTGGGCTGCGAGAAAGCTAGCACAGTCAAACCTGAAGCTTTAACAGCCTGAGGCTTCACAGCTCTCAGAACCTTTCAGAGCTGTGCGAGCGGTCCTAAGGGCTCCAGGCACATAGGGCTCAAAAGATGCTGTTTTGCTAAGAGTCACAGGACCCATGTTGCTAGAGGAACCAGCTGGTTTGGCTTCACAAAACAGAATTCTGTCTTAGGCCCGTATAGCGCCTCTCACCCCAACGTACTTCACAAACTACACCTTATACCACTATTTCATCCCTGAAATGCAGCCACTTCTGGGAGGCAGCATAGCAGTAAGGTGGACAACCAGCACACTGCCCTACAATGAGGGGAGGAGATGTTTTGGGAGATCAGTCTTTCCCTCCCCCACAAACTCTTCTGAAAAGCGCACTGGTCCAAATTCTGCTCTCATCCTCATGGCCGGAAATCCACAGCAACTCCAATGAAGTCGTTCAATGGAGCCACTTTGGATTTACGCACGTCAAAGAGCAGAATTTGGCCCATTATGTTGTTATGGAGGATCATTCTTCACTTCGTCAACTGTCTGTATTTTACTGCACATATAACAGTTCAGTTTCTTTTACAACACTGCTGTGTGCATCAATGCATTCTAAAAGACCACTGTAAATGCCTTCATTTTCCAGCAGGTCAGAGATACATGGCCGAGTATTCAGTAAAAAGAAGAGAAATAGAGTATTCAATTTGTTTTTCTTTCTGGTAATTTTGTTCGATTCAGTTCGCCATGAATAGGCGCCACGAGATCTTTAACATCCAAGGCTTTTAATCTCTCATCTGAAGGACTCACGCACTGAGAAAACTTGTGCTGAGTTCACTTGTCTCAGAAAGGTGAAAGATTGAGTCAGCCTGCACGAGGCCCTTTATCAAAGGGACCTGCCTCAAATGATTCCTGCTCTGAATTTGACCTGCTGCATCTTTAAATTGCTGCAATCCGGTGGTGAATATGGTGAAGCTGAACAGGCACATGCCAGGGTATGCTATGTGGCCTCCATGCCCATCACCAAGGTATCTTATGGAAGTTTCAGTCTAGAACTTTTCCTAGGGGGAAAGAGAAATCAGTCAATTAACGGATTCTAGACGGGGATATGCTTGCAATGGAAGTGAAGTCTTAAGTTCATCCAATGAGTGGACTGAAAGGCTGAGTGCTCATTTCACAAGTTCAGTTGTCCCAAGAAGAAAATAAAAGAAGAGAGAAATGCCTTGCCTTTAAAAACAGCGATATTTGCCTGTATATTCAGTGAAAGGAAGACAAGGAGAAAAATATCCATCAACAAACAGCCCTCTTGCATTCCTAGACTTTAGCACATTCTCTCATCAGGAAGTTCTGGAGACCCAAACAGAGTCTCAACCCAAAACTTGTGAATCCTGCCCATCCCCTTCCTGGCTTGTGAAACAGTCAAGAGCAACCGGCACCGGTCCTGACTGAAACCGCCAATGCCTCACACAGAAAAGGAATTTTCCATTCCTCCTTCAAACGTGCAGTAGTCCGACCAATGCTGAAAAATCCACCCTGGACACTTCAGTCCTAGTCAACTACCGCCCAGTATCAGACCTCCCGTTCCTGAGCAAGCTCATAGAGAAGGTAGCAGAAGGCTGACTACTAGGTATTCTAATATTCTAGACCCAGCACAATCTGGATTCAGGCCAGGACATGGAACTGAAGCCACTTTAGCAGCACTGATGGAAAATCTCCTGCTGTCAATGGATAGAGGGCAGACATCCACTCTCATCCTCCTGGGACCTCTCCGCAGCATTTGACATGTGGACCACGAGATTCTGCTGTCCCGCCTGAGAGGTGTGGCAGGGTTCCAGAGTAATGCACTAGGATGCTCTGGGTCCTTTCTGGAGGGAGGCACCCAGCGAGATGTGATGGGGAACTGCTCCTTGTGATACTTCTGAGCCTGAGTCTGTTTAAGCCTGGGGTGTCACCCCTGAGCCAGACAGTGAGAAGAGTCATCAGAAGCAATTACCTGCAGGTCCTGGGATAGGCTCCATGCCATTCAACAAGGTTTCAGCCAATCCACAAGCAAGGACCCACCCAGGTGTCCCCAAGGCAAGTATACAGGCTCTTAAAGGAAGCAGGTTCTCCAGTCTGCTTGATGTCACTACCTGGTCAGAAGCATTCCCACCGTTGGTAGTTTCAACAGACTGTCCCTGCTTCAGCGCTTGGCTCCTGCTCTACCCATGCCGGTTTCCATGTCCCTACTCCAGCCTGCATCTGCTCCTGCCTCAGCCAGCCGCCTGGAGACTCTGGCATGCCTCCACCACCAGACCCCTCGCTTGTTAAGTTCCATCAGGACCCGTTCTCTCTCTGGGCCTTTACATGCAACCACTAGGTGAACGGGTCAGATGATATGGACGCAAGTGCCAGCAATATGCAGACACACAGCTCTACTTACTCTTCGCCACACACAACCACACCGTTACCACCAATATAGCCCAGTGCTTGGATGAGAACAGCTGGCTGAAGATGCACCAGAGCAAGCCAGAGGTGGGAAGAGGAGAGCAGTATGAAGAGTTCACAGCCATAGTGCTGTCTCCTTTGGTTCAAGGTACACATCCACAATTGGTCAGTTCAGTCCCTAGACTCGGAGTGCTCCTGGATTCCTCGCTGATGCTAAGCAATCACACAACAGCATCCATTTCCAGTTGGCTAGGAGACTCCATCCCATCCTGGCAGACAATGACATGCTATTCACGCCTTCATTACCTCTTGGCATGACTATAGCAGTGTGATATACTTGGGCAGAAAGCCTGCGGCACTTTAAGGAAACTCCACCTAGTAAAGACAACTTAGCGCATCTCCTCAGAAACACAAGCAACACAGAAACCACGAGCACATCAAACCTGTCTTCTACTCTCTACACTGGTTTCCCAGAAAATAGCAAGACAAGCTCAAGGTCCCTGTCCTTATCTCCAAGACACTCCATGATCTGGGCATAGGACAGCTAAATGAATGTCTAAAGCTCAGGGATGCCGACTGTGGTCTACAACTCTATTCCTCAGGCATGCTGGAACTCTCTGCAAGACGGATAAAGCATGTCTGTGTAGCAGACAGAAATGTCTTGGGCACCAGTCTAAGACTGTGGAATGAACCTCCCCAGGAACTACTGACCATCACAAAACTACGGACCATCACAAAGCTCCCCACCTTCCACTCCAAGTCTTCGATCTGCCTTCTCTACAACAAACACGGAGAAACGTGTATAAAAAACCCCCAAAAGCAACAACCTCACCAAACCAAGAAGTGTCCACTGCACATCTCTCCCACTGGGGAGGGGACAAGAGAACAAACAACACATGACCGACGTTAGTCACGTTGTTTGCTGCAATCTAAGAACCTATGCAAAGAATAAAAGGCTGAGTGCTCATTTTAAAAGTTCAGGTGTCCCAAGGAGAGAACAGCAGGACAGGCTGTGAGCATCACTGCGAAGGCTACAAAGGGTGCATTGGGGGGCGGGGAAGAGAATCTACAGTTCCCGAGAGAGAAGCTGATGGTAAGAGAAAACTAGTCCTTCATTTTAGCTAGGGACAACGTTATCGGTTAACAGCTCAGCCTCGTTTTACTTTGATATAGAAAAACATTTGGTTTTTATAATCATTTCTCTTCCTTCTTTTAAGCCAGGCACAGCTGCCTTCTCTATGTTTATATACAGCCCGTCGCTGGTGAGGTACAGTGTATTTATAGAATCTTTCCATCTGGTTTCCCCTTTGTGCTGGAGATGGTTTTATTAAAATAACAGCAGTAAGACACCGAACAGGGAGGCACAGGGGCTAACAAGCCAGGCTTTGAAGCCCGTTACTCATTAATATACAACAAATCCTGAGAGATGCCAGCAGCAAAATTTGAATGTATTTCATCCTCAGTTGAAAAGATCTCCCAAACAGCTCCATGCGGCCAGCAGACTGGCTAAGGATTAGAAATCAGCACTTCCTGATTCTAATTTGATTTTCAGTTCTGACCACCATCACACCAATGGAAAATCATGCCCATAGCCAATGTTCATGCAGAACCTACAATGTTGCACTTTTGCGGCACACAGCCATTTGAAGAAGCTTGATGAGACAAAGCAGAATTCGGACATCCCCACAAGGAGGATGCCCCCCCAGTCTGGGTTACATATCTGGAAGGAAATGGAATTATAAGACTATTGGTATAGGGGTATTGCAACCAGACAGCTGGACTGACGGCCTAATCCTGGCCCTGATGAAGTCAACAAGAGCTTTGCTACTGACTTCAATAGGATCAGGGTTTGGCCCTGAGCACTTACCTAACTCTCCATTTCTTCTCATCTTCACATTGGATATAATCCTGCTATGTGAAAACACCCCTAGACACAACCCGGGTCTAGCCCCTGCAGGAACATCTGCTTTGGATTCTCAACCTCCATTCTCCCCCCCACCTACACACACACACATACCTCTGCTGCGCCGCCTGCTCCGGGATGGGTCCGTATAAAACGTTAGCTGGGGGTCGTTGTCAGCCTCTGTCCCAGAATCTCCTTCAGGGTTCAGAAACGCTGAGCCAGCTACAATTAACAGATGACAGAATCACTTCCAACAATTGCACGTTTTCCCCCCACCTCTGCCCCCGTCATATCCGCCTGCCGTCTCTCGTTGCTGTTGTTACTTGCACTGCAGAAATGCCAGAGATCAGGGCCTCGTTGTGCCAGGTGCTGTACAAACACACACTAGGAATCAGCTCTTGCCCTGAAGAGCTTACCATCTAAATAGACAAAGGGTGGGAGGGGAAACAGAGACACAGACACCTGCCCAGGTGACCCAACTTCAGGATCTTTTGAGCTCTGCCCACCGCTATCACCAATGCTGGCTCTTAAGTGGTCAGAGGATGTTGCTATAGGGAACACAAAGTGCTCCCTTCCCCTACAGAGGAAAATCATGAACTCTACCTTGGGGACCTGCCCTGTATTCAGTCCCTTGCTGTAGATGAACAACGCTGCTCTTTGTACTGGTAGAGCCTACTGCTGCTGGAAACTGGGGGACTGTGGCTTTGCCTGCACATGCCAGATGGGGTGGGAAAGCAAAATCCTCGATCCGGCAAGGCCTGAGCTCCGCTGGTGAACAGAACTCCCCACAGCCTCCCCCAGCCCTAGGGAATCACAGGGTACCTCGTGCTTTGTTATTGATCCGCTTCCGCTGGCTACTGGAGGTGTGAGACAACAGGGTAGCCTGCTGGTGGTTGGAGTCCACGGGGCTGGTAGCGATGATGTTATCCTTGTACTTGTTCATCAAGGACAGCTTGGCATTGTCGCTTCCTGAGCAGGAAGAATTTAAGGCAAAAACTTTCAGAGAAAAGACAAAAAAAGGAGGGAGAGAGAAAGAGAGAGAATTCATTTCTCAGGATTCAATTCCTTTCCCAGCATCTGGGTAAGAACACTAGTGACACCTTGGATGGTGGCCCGGCAAGTGAAATTGACCAGGGTCCCTATGGGGGACAAGAGAGCAGGGGCTGAAACTGAGGTTTCTTCCACTCCAAAGGTGCATGGGCTGACAAAATTGGTTCAAACCAGGTTCTGGAGAGCCCTCTCCGTTCCGACCAGCAGCATGCCCACCTATTGCAGCTCCACAGCCCTGCCAATGCATTGCTATCAGGGTGAGATCCAACAAGCAGGGAGAAACTCCTTATCTGGCCTGTAGCATGGAGGAAGGGAAGGAATCACTTGGGAAGAGCCAGGGATGACAAGGAGGAAGGGTAAAGCTCGCCCCACTGAGAAAAACTACATCTTAGGCTGGGTGTTGGAGAAGCCCCAATTCATTCAGCATCATCTTGATGAGTTCTACAGGGCTCAGGTTGAGATTTTCAAAGCTGAATAAGAGATTTTCACTGCACAAACTGGGCAGGCAAATCCCTTAGGCAGATTAGGAAATCTCACCCTTGGACATCCCAGGAATACAGTTTAGATTCCACCTACACAACCTGTAGCCACTTCGCAACCTGATCAGGGGACAACTATGTTGTCACTAGGTCTTGTGATCCAAGAGAAGTCCCATTTGCATCAAGGTGGTGTTGACACTGAAGACTACTGATGACAATGTAAACATCAACATTAACTATCTCATTGTTGATCATTTTTGTAAATGGACCCAGTGGTCCTGGGACTGTGGCAGGAGCTTGGGGATGAGGACAGAGCTGGGACAGATTACCACCACATTTTCCCCCTTCCATCTGACCCCTTACTGAAACCTCTGTTCAGGGAGAAGGAAGGTGCAGGCACAGAGATTCTTGCCCTGGAATCAAGGTTCTGCATTTCAGCACCACCTCTTATCTCTCCTATATCACATGCAGTGGAAGACGCGCTGCTAGATTTGGCTGCATGGAGGCCCCAAGCCGTGGCTACAAGAATACCCAGGGGAACATACTCACTGCTGTCCCATGCATAAGGGAACCCCAAATGAGGTTGCCCCACACGGCTCTGGGATCAAATCAAACTTGCACGGGAAAGGGGTGCAGAGGAGTATTCTGTGTATATGTATTCCACTGTAGCCCAATGCCAGCAATACACACAGGGAGAGGACTCGGTTTCACTACTCAGCTGAGCCCACGCAAACAGGAACAGCAAAGCACATGGAGGGTAAACCATTCGTCCCCCAACCTGGCGTGAGATCCATGCCAGACTTCTCATTGCAGCCCTGCAGCGAATCCAACGTCCTGGTGACCTGGCTAGCGAAGTCCTCGCCGCCGTTCATGCACTCGCGCTGCAGGTGGTGACGCAGGTCAGTGATGTCGTACTCATAGCCGTCCAGGATGGGGGTCTCGCGGATGCTCAGCGTGCCGCTGGAGTTGTGGCCTTGCACGCGGGCGTTCCGCAGGCTCTCCCGTCCGTGACCCCCAATCAGAACCGAGGGGATGTAGTGGATTTCGTTGGCCGCCTCCGCGCTGGCACTCTTCTGGGGCTGCGGCACCCGGCGCCGCTTGCACCAACGCCGGCGGGTGTAGAGGATCATCACCAGGCACAGGATGGAGAGCAGCAGGGCAATCATGCCCCCCTAAGGAAGGGAACAGAAGCAGGGTTCAGAGCCACGGCTGGAGACAGCAGAAATGCAGCCAGCCTCCGGGAGGCAGAGCTACATGGACAGGGAGATCAGCGGCTTCCGTTCCAGCTGGATGGCCAGCGCGGCAGGGAATGCATTGCCCAGGGGGAGCGGCAAAGGGGACTGGATGACTTTCACCTCTCGCCCACTAGTCTGACTCCAGACTGAGCTGAAAGTCACGCCTGCTGCTGACACTATAGTTCGGGGTCTTATACACTTAAAAGGGCAGGTGTAAAAAAATGTAATCCCCAGCTTTCTTACAAGCCCTGCAACAAGCCCTGCAGCCGCCAGGAGCTGTCACGTTTCCAAACGCAGTGTAACGGTGCCGCAAAAATGCCAAATTCCTTCCCCAGCAGGCAGCCCTCCAACCACAAACATCGGGTGCCGGGCTTGGGACTCTGCCCCACCGGGCCCTAGACGCTGTCCCGCTGCACCTTCCACTCAAGGGTGCAGGGATGGAGCACAGGGAAATCCTACTATGCCACACTCCCAAGCGACCTCAGCAGATCGCCTTTCGTTATCAGACCGGGATCTCCAACCACTTCACAAAGGGAGGATAAAGCAGATGGGGAAAGCTGAGCCTACCTGCACTGGCAGTGCCCATTTAAAACATAGGCCAGTTCCTTAAATGGTCTAAATCATCATAGCTCCATTCAATGGGGCAATGACAATATACACCAGCTGAAGATCTGCCCTTGGGGCCAAAATCATGCCTGGTATAATCAGGAGCAGAATCCACTGGGAGTTCCCTTCAATGGTAACTGTGCCTTCTTAGGCCAGGGCAAAACTGAGCTCTACATTTCCATGGAAACCCCACTGTTCCTGGCACAGGCAACAGTCTGAATAATGCATGTGATAACGGCAGCCACTATTGGTTTAGTCTCCTTCAAGCACGCCGGTGTAATGGAAACGGGACTGGAGAAGATGGAAGAGGCAGAGCAGCGTCAGGAAATCAGTGGTGTGGGATACACCTCCCTAATAAGTAACTATCGTATGCAACAGTTCTACCGTGCAGCTCAGCCGGGCACTTTCCAGAGGTTGGTCTATCCACTGGAGAGCTGGAGAACTGGCAGCAGGAAGAGGTGCAGAAACCTGCCTACGATCACACAGTGAGGCGATAGCAGAAACAGGGATAAAACCCAAGTCTCCTGACACCCGGTCTCCTGCTCTCACTACTAGGTAATATTTTGCACTGATTGCCTGCTTTCCAGACAGCATTTCAGAAGGGCTCAGGCTTGGCCTCATTCTGCTTCACTGAAGCCAACAGTGAGGCAGGACACCACTGAGTGCTTTAGAAAATCCCACTCTATATAACTACTAGGAGTGGGGTACTTTGGTGCCCCAGAATACAGACCCTGCCCTCCAGAGTTTACAGTCCAGTGTGACTGTAACAGTAGCTGCCACCCGAGCGCCCCCTTGTGGCCGGGATGTCTCTGCAGCCCGTTTTCCCTTTCTTCGGGGCTCCTTAAACACACGCCACACAGTCTCTCTCATCTGCTCACAGCCCTTCTTGGCACCTGGTTTCTTATTAACACAACTGTCGTAACTATAAAGGGAAGGGTAACAACCCTCCTGTGTACAATACTATAAAATCCCTCCTGGCCAGAGACACCAAAATCCTTTTACCTGTAAGGGTTAAGAAGCTCAGGTAACCTGGTTGACACCTGACCCAAAGGACCAATAAGGGAACAAGATACTTTCAAATCTTGGGGAGGGGGGAAGGCTTTTGTTTGTGCTCTTTGTTTTGGGGATTGTTCGCTCTCCTGACTAAGAGGGACCGGACATCAGTCCATGCTCTCCAAATCTTTCTGAACAAGTCTCTCATACTTCAAACTTGTAAGTAACAGCCAGGCAAGGCGTGTTAGTTTATCTTTGTTTTCTCAAATTGTAAATGTTCCTTTTGCTAGAGGGTTTACCTCTGTTTGCTGTAACTTTGAACCTAAGGCTAGAGGGGGTTCCTCTGGGCTCTTTGAATCTGATTACCCTGTAAAGTTATTTTCCATCCTGACTTTACAGAGATGATTTTTTACCTTTCTTTCTTTAATTAAAAGCCTTCTTTTTAAGAACCTGATTGATTTTTCCTTGTTTTAAGATCCAAGGGGATTGGATCTGGACTCACAAGGAACTGGTGGGGGAAAGGAGGGGGAATGGTTAATTTCTCCTTGTTTTAAGATCTAAGGGTTTGGATCGGTGTTCACCAGGAAATTCAGGACTTCACCAGGTGGAGAAGTCTCTCAAGGCTACCCAGGGAAGGGTTATAGTACTTGGGAGCGAGATATTCTGGGGGGGAGATAGACAGAGTTTCCCAAATGATTCATAAATAATTTGGGTGGTGGCAGCAAAACCAGATCTAAGCTGGTAGTTAAGCTTAGAGGTTCTCATGCAGGTCCCCACATCTGTACCCTAGAGTTCAGAGTGGGGAAGAAACCTTGACAAAAACGTTCCAAAAAACAAAACACAACAATAATCTTCCACCCAGCTTTAAGCTGGGCACACTCCCTCCTCTGTGAGGTGTTGCCCCTTCCCATTGTCTGGGCAGCTGGAGGAGAGGCAGGGTCTGGCCTGCCACCTTTGCCTTCTCCCAAAGGAAAAGCAAACCTTTCAGCTGGGACTTCTTACCCAGCCCTAACTCTCTTCCTCAGGGACCACGGCAGGAGACCCTCGCTCCCTCTCATTTCAGTCCGTAGCTCCCCTTCTAGCTCTGTCATCACTGAAATTCCCCCTGACCCTTTTTAGCCCAGGCACCCAGCCCCATCTCCTTAACTGGCTCAGGTGGGAGCACCAGCTCTGGCACAGAGGCGCTGGACCCATGTTAATCACAGGGGCCAGCCACCCTGTGACATAGACACAGGATGTATGAGTGTAGGAAACAGGGGGTGGGGGGAGGAGACAGGGCCGACAGCATAAGATCATGATCCTTTCAGACATTAACACATTACACTGTCTGCCATCCCAGCAAGACAACCCGCTACTTGAGCTAAAGGGGAACTCCCTTAACTACTGGTAGTAGTAGGGCCCTTAATCTTTCTGTGGAGAAGGTCAATGGGAGCAGAGTTGGGACTGGTTAAAGATTTCCTCCAGGCCCCACTGGAATGGACCTTGAATTTCTTTCACTTGACTTAGCTGTTTGGGTGAGGTGAGGAAACATCGGGTAGCAGAGTGAGCTGGAATCCTGGGTTCTGCTCCAAGCTCCGTCACTAACTCAGTGTCTGATCTTGGGCAAGCTGCTTCACTTCGCTGTACTTCTTTTTCCCCCCTCATCTGTAAAACGAGGGTAGTGCATACCTGCTATGTATAATGTGCTGACTTGGAGTGAATGAATTCCCATGTGAACTGGAAGGTGTCTTTTAGACAAAACCATTTGTGAGGGGGATTTGTGGTGGGGGATACTGTGAATGTCCATTTGGGGTCCTTTGCTCTATGGCGCTGTACATTTTTGTGCAGCACCTAGAGTGCTGTGTAGGTGCTTTGTAAATGTGAATAAATACATCTAATCCCATTTATCCTCAGAGATGCCAGAGTAATTGTGCGCGGGTGGGGGTTTGTTTTCTTGGCTCATTTGAAATGGAAGGAATTCTTGGCAAAAGAAAATAAAGAAAAGTCTGTGCATCACAACCCTGCATCAGCCAGGAGAGCCTGCGATCATCAAAATACAGAAAGTAGCATATAAATCACAAACCCCAAGGGCCTGGCTTCGCCTCATGGGGAGCTTCCATTCAAACGCAAGGGTAAGTTACTGAAAAAGAACCAAAACTGAAACAGTCCTTAAATCATGTTGATGTATTTTAGTATTAACTCATTTTGGGTTTTTTTTTTTTTAAGGAAACAGAATGTTCATGAAAAGAGTCCAGCTGTTGGCCCGGGGGAATGAAATCCTGTATTTATAATCCACAGGACTGGTACAGAACAGACAGCTGATAGTTCAAACTCACCCACTTAATGGATCAATTTTAAACACTGCCCAGGACAGATACGACTGCAGTCTGTAGGTGCTGGTTAGACACTATGGCCTCAATTCAGCCAAGCCCTTCCACTTGACTTTATGCATGTGACTTCAGCACATGCATAACACTTCAGCCCGTGCTTAGTTCCCATTGACTTCAAGGGAACCTAAAACATACGCTTAAAGTAAAGTGCAAGCTTTAAATGTTTTGCTGAATCAGGATGGTAGGGCCAAGCGGAGCCAGCTTTGAAGCAGTTACCTGAAAGCGAGAGAAACCAATCTTCTTTAATATTTCTTTTCATGTAGTCTTTGAAAGCAGAGATCAGATTTATTGTAGGCAAACACCCCTACTGGCAACTTTTTCAGTGCCCAGGTGGGGGAGGTGATATCTTTTATTGGACCAATACATCTGTCGGTGAAAGAGACAAGCTTTCGAGCTCACACTGAGCTCTTCCTCAAGTCATGTTTCCGGCTGGTGTGAGCACTAGCACTCTTAATCTTTGGAGACTGTCCCAGGGGCTCTTAGAGAAATGAAGTGTGTGACTTAACAAAAGACAAGAAAAGACTGGATTGCTATTGACATTACAATAGAGCCTAGAGGGGCCAACTGAGATCAGGGTCCCACTGCACTGTGTACTGTACACACAGCAAGTGAAGCCGTGTCTGCATGGGGCAATTTTTACTGGCAGAATTTTCCCAGTTTAATCATACTGATATAACCATAGCGACAGAATCCTGCCGGTCAATCTCCCTGTATAGACAAGCCCTTCAAGCCAGTCCCTGCCCCAAAATGCTCACAGTCTACCCAGATAAGCCAGACAAAGGGTCCATTGCTGCTGCAGCCCACAGATAAAGCTGGAGAGAGATGAGCTCAATTTTGCTGACTGTGCCGGTCCTCTAAACCTTGCATGCCAAGAGCAAAAAATAAATAAATGGGAGCCAGCTAGCAGCTCCATGTCCATTCTTGGCCATTTTCCCTTTCTTCCTTTTTATGCAATAGGTGATCTTGATAAAATAAAATAATAACCATCATTTGCTCCATTAGGACAAAACATTAAGGGAATTATTGAATGAGCAACAGACGAAGCAGCTGGCAGAGTTCTCTAATGGCCATTATGTGTTAACCCTCTTTCATTCTCAGGATAATGGAGAAGTACTGACCCCTCCCTTCCTTCCAAAAAGAAAAATATCTGCAGATTAAGCAGAGGAGCAGCCACTTAGAGGGCACTGCGGTTAGCTGGGACGTATCAGTCTCTCTGGGTTCCGTTTACTAGCCCCATATAGCCCTCACCATGTCATGTCATCACAGGGGTGGGCAACTGATCCCAGCAGAAGAGACATGGTACAGTGGTGCTTAAATGTGGCATCTGATTCCTGAGTGGTCAGTGTGGTTCTGAGTTACTCATTAGCAAGGACATAACCGGGACTTGCATTATGACACTTTTATGCTGCACTGGCCCATTAAGTCTGGGGATCTGGCCATTGGAGAATATACCCAGTGGGGGGGAGCACAGAGCTGGCATAATGGATCTATGCCACCCCCTTGCAGGCCCTGGATCTATGCCACCCCCTTGCAGGGAGCATGGGAGAGACAAGGGGGCATAGCTGTAATGCCACTGCACGCTGGCTCTTCTCAGCTGCTGGAACTGTAATATGTTTAGTTGCATTATATCGTTAGGCCACTAGGTGCCCCTCTGTTTTAGAGTTCAAACAGCATGTGGTCCCTGGTAAACAAGAGAGACAACGCTGGCACTCAAATTATGTAGAAACCTGTTTGTTTATAACTGCCGTCGCAGTTGTTTCCTTAAATTAACACTTCCTGTTCAAGAAAGAGCATAACCTCATCTGACATGACATGAGCAGCCCGTTGGGTTCCCTAACTTATGCCTGACAATTGGTAGAATCCTGGCTGGTTCAGAATTCAGGGAGAGAAAGCAACATTTGCTGCTCCCCCACTTTCTACACCAGTTGGAATTGAGAATCAGGACCCTGCACTCCTTTTCAGGTGGGTACAGGAATCCAGTTCCGGTTCCATCTCCTACCAGCGAATCCAGATTCCATTCCAGGTGGGCATGGGAATCTAGTTCTAGTTTCATCTCTTCTCAGTGGCTATATCCAGACAGCAGAACAATGGTTGCTATAGAAATTCCTAAAATACGCAAAGCCTGAAGCGCTACTCAAATGCTGGCAATTTTAAAACACCCAGCCACAGGTCATAGAATCATAGAAGATTAGAGTTGGAAGAGATTTCAGGAGGTCATCTAGTCCAACCCCCTGCTCAGAGTATTCTCACAAGTGGCTTAAAGAAATGGACTCAGCCACCCAGCACCACCACTCTTTGCAACACAGCTGAATTGAGAGGAAAAACACTCAACATTCAGTTTTAGCACACCACATTATTCTGGTTCCTCCTGGCACAAGACCCTTCCCTAGGGTGTAAAGATGTTTCCAGGATGAAATTAATTTGGGGACAGGGACAAGGGGAAAATAAATATTTAATTTCACATGTTGGTGTAATCATCATCATCTGGCTTTCTTTCTGTTCATTTGGTAATAATCATTTCCTGGGCTCTTACACTCTTCAGTTTTCCACCCCAGAATTTATTTCACCCCAGATACAACTATGACCCGTAAGATGACATAGCCTCAAGTGGTCATTAGTTAATTCAAACCACACCAACAGGAGAAATGAAATATTCTCAAAACATGCAAGGCCACTTCAGACTGGTTTTCCTGCAGAATCCCACCCAATCAAGGTCTAGCGTAGACACAAGGTTCCAAGCATTACATCATCAGAGCAAGCTCTCATTGGCTGATCCTGAGGGGGTGAACACTGTTACTAAGAAACTGCTCATCATTAGCTTTTCAAAACAAACCCTTCTAAGGTTCACTCCATATCGGATTGGGAGGTCCTGTGCCGAGTATGAGAGTCCACGGGACAGTAAGCTGAGAGCCCACCAGACTCATAGCACCTGTGACATAATTCATCCACAGGTGAGAAACTAGGACATTATTTCCTCACTGTACTCCATCTGGTGGCTTTAACAATGGCCTCAGTGTAGAGGCTCTGGAATTTCCAGTCCAATTACGGACCAAATGATTCCCACAGAGAACCCCTGCATTGTGCCAGGTACTGATATACACTGTCTGGCTGTTGAACTAAAGTCTAGTTAACCAAAATATCCTGTGAATGCAAGTCCAATTGCAGTACAGAACATACACCAAGCCTGTAGTGTGTATATGTGTACAAATATACATGCATGCACACGCATACACCACTCCGGGATCTTCTGATTCTCCAGCAGCAGAGACCCCAATCCAGCAAAGGATTTAAGCACTTAACTTCAAACATGTAAATAGTTCCACTAACTTCAATGGGACCACTCCTGTGCTTAAAGTTAAGCATGTGCTTCAGTGCCTCTCTGGATCAGAACCTCGGCATGCAGCCTGCTGCACAGGCCATTCATTGCATTACTGAGATGGCAACCCACAGCCCGGTCTGTTCGAAGGCACAGACTGGCTCCCCCACTGAGCTGAAAAGCCCCATTTGGCCCAAGATTTTAGGGATCTCCAAGACCTGTGGACACAAAAGGGGCCGTGCTGCATTCCATTCCAGAGAGGCACGTGAGGAAAGGGAGCAAAGTGAAATACAAGGGCAAAGCCTGATGGCTAGGAGGCGAGTCACCAGGATCTGGAGTTCTCTGTCATCTGGGGGCCAGATCATCAGCTGGTTTCAACTCGTTTATCTCCGCTAAAGTCCACAACTAGAGTGAAAGCATGGTCCAGTGGAGAGGGCACTGGTCTGGGATTAAGGAAACCTGGATTGAATCCCCAGATCACCCATATATTTCCCCTGCTATCACACTGCCTAGGAAGGCAGTGTAGTAACATGATGTACATTACTAAGGAGACAGAGTAGCCTAGTGGCTACACTGGAGTGGGACTCAAAAGACCTAGATTCTAGTCCCAGGACTGTCACTGACCGGCTAGTTGACCTTGAGCAAATCACATCACCGTCCTGTGCCTCAGTTTCCAGTGCTTTGAGATGGACCAATGAAAAGTGCTACGTAAGAGCTAGCTAGTATCACCATCTTGGGCAATCACGTAATCTACCCTATCAGCTCCCCAGTTGGAAAACCGGGATAAGCCTGTCGTGAATTGCTCAGATAGTACAGTGATGAGGGCCACGTAAGTGACTAGGTAAACAGACCAGAGTTCCCCTGATGTACATCAGCTGAGGCTCCAGCCCCTGTGTCGGGGATAATTTTCAACAGTTAACGCACGGCCTTCTCGGCAAAAACGGACAAAATGTTTCCAGTTTGATTTTGCCGTTTATTAATTTTTCTCCACTAATCAAGCACAAAAGATGGAGGAGACACTTGGCCTCGGGCTGCAATCTGGAAGAGATATTGACATTCTCATTAGGGCAGGCTTCATTAAACAGCCTGTAGCAAGCATCAGCAGCCCATTGTCTCCAGCTAATTATCTTCTGCTGGCAAAGGAATTGGTACGATTCTTCCCATCGTTAAAAAAATAATCCACCGCACAAACACTGATCTATACTTTTTCTTTTTCCCCTTTGGCTTCCATTGAATTCTCTTTCCTGAGCTTCTGTGGGGAAGAGGACATGAAGGCATCAGAGGGGGTGGGGGACATGTAATCTGCAATACACTCAAGGGGTTCGCACTTGTTATATTCCAAGCCCTGTGCACTCATACATGCTAAATCAAAGCCATCAGGCTGTGGTTCCTCTGCTGGTGTCAAGAAAGCAGGGGTGACAAAGCACCAGAGGGAGAAAAGCCTAAAGGGAGGGGGGGATACCATGCACAGGAAACAAATGTCAGGGACCACAGGCACTGTGGGGAACAAAATGGGAGGACTGTTGCATTTCTCTGATTTATGCAGGGTTTGGCCCATTGGATCAGATCACTGGTCCACACAGACAAGTCTGCTTCATACTTTGTGGCTCCAATCCTGGGCTATGGCCAAGCTAAGCCCAATGAGACTGGTGAGTGATAGCTTTTTGCCTCCTGGATTCTGGAGCACCAGGGCAGTCCTTGGCACAAGCTAGAGCAGCCCCAAGGGCTAAGCTCACATACACCACCTGCAATGGTTTCCTATGGAGTCATCCAATTGCCTAGCATAGCTGGAGTGCAATGTGCTCTGGCCACACCTCCTCTCCCCTGCTCCACCCCCTGCACAGATGGCCACACCCCTACACAGAGGCCTCAAAGAGGACAGCATAGAGATGCTCAGCTGGCCCTCCACCTCCAGGCAATCTCCATTACAGCAAGGCTATTCCTTGGGTGGGTGCGTGGGGGGAGAGATCCGTCGACTTTGCAGCTCTTGCAGGCTCGCAGAACTGACGTAAATGAGCCAGAGGAAACACCAGATAGAGCTGGCTGGGAAATAGTTTTCCCATTCCATGAAGAGTTGAGGTATTGAAAAATGTTCCTCTCCCAAATTGGGATGAAAAGTCAAAACCGCAAAAAATTCTGCCAACTGAAAATCCAAAATATTTCCGGTTCCGGCCGCATTGAAACGTTTTGTTTCAATTTCAACCTTTTTTCCCCCCCCACTTTTCTTTTAAACCTTTGTTTAAGTCTCAGTTTACCAAGCATGTCATTCTACCACGCGCCTGGTGGCTGGGGAGTGGCAGCGTCTCGATAGTCATTACTGGTAACCAGCATCACAACCACTGCATCCACCCTCCAAGGACAGCTCAGCACACAGGCATTTCATGGAAGGGGGGGAGGAAATTTTCAAACATTCAAACAGGCTCTCAACATTCCCACTGAAAGTCAATGGAAGTTGGGTGCCTGTCGGGTGCCTCCCGCAGAACGGAGAATGACCTTTGAAGGCGAGCCGGCACGTACCATGACGGAGATGTGGAGGATCCTTAGCTCCTCTTCCGCTGACTCAGTCTGGGGCTCTTCGGTGGGGTCAGCACCAGGCAAGCTGGGGGTGCCGTCTTGGTGGTGGATGTGGAAGAGCAACGTGCCGTTCTCCAGCCACTGCTGCCTCCAGCGCACCAGGGGAATGTCCTCTGTGTTCCCCGAGATCTCTGGAAAAGGAAACAAGGCTGATGTGTGAACACGGCTACAGTACAGAAAACCCACTGGAAATCCAGTCTACCTCTTTCTAGGGAATCAGTACAGTGCAAGTGACCTACTCCTGGCTGGGTGTATGTCAAGCAGGCTGCAGATTGCAGCCATCTCTCATCTCAGGATCACCACAGTCTGCTTCACTGCATGCTATCAATGGCCTTTATAATCCCAGAGGGTAAACACATGGCAGCTTCCCTCTTCCAAAACTGGGGTGTGCATTAGCTGCCAACTGCAGGTGGATTTACCAAGGGTAACTGCTGAGAAGCCAGTCAGTAACTGCTAGCCAGGTCCATGGCAATTACCACATAAACCCTATGACCTGACCACGGAGGCTTGCAAAGGACTTAAGAGTGTGATTAAATCTCTGAATGTCAATGGGGAGATGCAACAACAACTCACGTAGGGGTCAAAAGGCAAAATCTGGAGGTTTGTGTTACTTTTATTTTAACATAAAATGGGTCCCTCCCTCTCCCCTTTTTAATTAAATTTTGGGTGAACTCAGAATGTTATTGCCCACAGAAGGGAGGATCTGATGGGAGGAGACAGACGGGGCACAACACTAGGGACAGATTTTTAAAGTATTTAGGAGCTATTGATTTCAATGGGAATTGGGTGTCTAAATATCTTTTAAAACCTGGACCTTAGTCTCTTCCCCTTCTACATCTATGCAGGAGCAGGGCAGAATAAGGACCCAGTGTTCACTCGGGCAGTAGCCAGCGGCACTCCGTGGCAGCATGCAAGTCTGCAGGTGTGTACCCCAGACATCTCCACCACACTCATACCCTCAGCAACTGCTGCCCATGGCTCCTTTTTAGAGCATGCCAGAGTGGCTCTTTGCAGGCAGGATGGCTAACAGCCCCCTCACTCCGCTGCTACTCCTATGCTCCCCCATTCTACCCCCAACACTACATCAAGTATCACAGATGATGTAAAGTGGCACAGTTCCATAGATCAGAACTCACTATGACTTAAACGGGCCACACTGACGTACCACGTTGGAGATCTGGCCCTTATATCTGGAGTGCTGCCTTTTCTCCTAAGGCTAGTCTGGGACACCTTCAACTCTGCTTTGGCAGCAGCACCTAGGGGTTTCCATCGGCTTCATTTTGCAGGAGCACCATCCAGCCTGCTCCCAAGGCTGTGCTGCCATCACACATGCACCCAGAACTAACCTTCTAGAGAATGCACCTAAACCTCACCATGCAGACCAATATGAGCAATCAAACAATGACATTCACAGCCCTAGTGATACATCCTGCAGGACACAAAAACCTATGATTAGGAACTAGCAACCGCAAGCCCAGCGGCCCAACCTTCTTTGTCATATGGCTCAGTCAGTCCACAGACCTAGCTGCTGCATGGGGTGGGGGCTCTCTGGTATGGGCGCAAACCAGTGAATGTCAGTTACTTCACCTCTTCCGTCTATCCACATATACCCAGCAAAAATGGCAGCTTATAGCGCAAAGGACATATAGCGCACCTCATTGTGGCAGCATAAAGTAATTGCTGGTCAAGATGTGCAACCCTGCCAATTCCAAAGTAAGTATCAGAGCTGCTCAAACTCTCAGCTGCTCTACCATCTAACAGAGGCTGACAAAGAGGCTAGATGGCCTAATTTTACCCACAGCTAACAGCGACTCTCCTTTACCTCCAAAGGGCTGTTACAGGAGCCGAAGGTTGTGATTTCTATTCCCTGTGCTGCTCGTGTGTGCTTTAGCTGGGGACTGTGCTTTCCGCATGCATGCAGCCATCGCAGGATGGATGAGTTTTAATCACGATTTAAATTAGCAAGCAGGAAACTACGATTTAACTCATTGATTTTAATCTTGTTTTCCATTTGTACTTTGTAATTATTTTCTGAGAGAAACGTTCATTTTCATTGGTTGGTAAAATCAACATGTTTTAATGGTTACAACCAAATATAGCCTTTGCACTAAATGTGGTGCTTATTTTTGCTAACCAGGGGGATACACTATGGCTATACACATTTACTTATGCAGGTACATAGCTTAACATGCATTTCTTATTTACTAGATAATGTTTTACTCAAGATTTATATTTATGGCTGGAAATCGGGATTCAAATTAAAAGTGTACAAACAACAGCATTTTTAAAAAGTTTTATTTAATTATTGAAGAACAATCTTAAATGTGCTGAATACATAAGAAAAAAACTATGCATCTCAAAGCACATTTTGCATTTAAAAGTAACTGGTTTATTAAACAAACGTATTAACTGCAATTCATTGACAGACTGTTTCTGGTCACCGGGGGCCAACGTTTCAAAAGTATCCAGATACAGGTTTCAACAGTGTCTAAGCAGATTAGTTTCCTAACTCCCGTTAAAATCAGGGGGAGTTAGGCACCTATATACATTTTCAGTGCCTATATACCTTTCAAAATCTGGCCCCGTGTCCTTCAAGTGTTTAGAATTAGTAGCCCTCCTCTTCTCCCACCTGGTTTTTATTAATAGATTTGAAGAGAAAAACAAGCTTTCCTGCTTTTTCATCTCCTGGTCGGTTTCTCAACAAATGAACCCGTCCAAATGAAAGAAATAGGCTCTCTGCACCTGCTAGCTAAACTGAAATCTAAAGTAATTCAGGCAAAAACTTTTCTCGACAACAGAAACTGAAAGTACTTACATTTGGAAAAATGTAAATACCAGCATTCACTCCATTGCAAAGACTGAAACTAATAGAGCTACTTGATACTGTGTAAAAAGAACAGGAGTACTTGTGGCACCTTAGAGACTAACAAATTTATTAGAGCATAAGCTTTCGTGGACTACAGCCCACTTCTTCGGATGCATATAGAGTGGAACATATATTGTACAAGTTTTTTCATGAAGTTGATGGATTTCCACTCCATACGGCTAAATGCAGTGTCTTGCATAATGACAGGTTTCAGAGTTGTGTGTGACATTTATAAAGCTTGAGTTGACAAAAAAAGTTAAAAGATGTTTTCCCCTGATTCTGCATATAATTTAAAAAGCAGCACCCTTTATCTCATTAAAATTTGAGAAGGGCTCATTGATTCAGCATTGTTTTAATCGTTTAAATGATTTTAACAGAACCTAGTAAGTTTTAGCCTTAACGAAGGTTGTCATGATTCCAAATTTAACGGGTAAAATAAATGAAAATTTACATTTTAAAAATCCAATTTAAATAAAAACTTTGATTTTTTTAAATTTTGTTTAAATGAGATTTTTTCCACCTGAGTCATAGCATTTCCTCTCTGTCTCTTTCTCTCTCTCTTATATGCTTCACACAGAGCCATGCCAAAGGTAAAATACTCAGGAAGGAGAAATATTACATGCTAGGAGACTCCTCTCCATTCTGACCCAACAACTTAAGCCAGTGCCTGTCCACGTTACTGACTTATCTTTCCTATCAAGCACATGTCAGGATTATCGTATGTGCAGGGATATCCTACGTGATCCTGCTCTTGGTAAACACCTACCCCCTGTAGAAAGAAAATACTTTGCTCCTTTTCAGCAAGGGTTTCCTCATCTGCTGGCTGTGTCTCCTCCTCACAAGTCCTGGGGTTTAAAAGGTGCTCAAAGAGTTTCTCAACCTGTCCCGAATTCCACTGCGCCTCCACATGAAAAACGGGGGGGGGGGAGGAGGGGAGGGAAATGTGCACTAAATTTTTTCAGTGTTCTCACAAGGTTCATCTTAGATTTGGGGTTCCAACTTTTTGGAGTATCCAAACCAGTTTATCTGCTCAGATTAAGAAGGGTTTTAATATGCTATGGACACCACTGACCCATGCCCCACCACTCCTGTCTGGCCTTATTCAAATATTATCCTCCTTCTATTCCTTCATCCACTGCTTTGTGCAACCAGCTGCCAGTCTGGGATGAACTGAACTCCTAAACCATGCCTCCATGTACCACTGGAAAGGGGAGAGTTGATAACAGGAGTGTAGGATACTAAGTATCATGGGCCAGACCCTTAGCTGGTGTTAAATGGGTGGAACTGCACCTGCCCATGCCAGCTGAGGATCTGGCCCCACAAAGCCTTGCAACGGGATGGCAGAGTCAAGGCGTGGTAGGAAAGCAGTCGAAAAAACTACAGAAAGGGGCAAGAGTAATTTCAAGATCAAAGTTTGAAAGATATTGATGACAGGCCTGCTCCCTGTGTGACTTTCATTAGGCCTTGGAAGTGAAGCAATTAGCACTGGTATTAACTTTTAACACCTATGTTAAAAAATAGCCTGTCTGAGTCAAGGGTTAACAACAGTAGGGAAGACCACTAATTATCCTGTGAAGCGTTAGCCTGGTATCAAATGTGACCTGAGTCCTTAATGCGTACAGGAACACCAGCCTCTAAACACCCCAGCTTGTCCTATAAACATAATGGCAGCAGCTGATTACTGCCCAGACTATATGTGAAGGGAGAAACAAAAGGGGAGAGAAAGGAGGCAGGGCAAATGGAGTGGGAAGGGGAGAGAGGAGGAAGAAAGGCAAATTGAGGAGAGGAGCCAGGAGAAAGGGATGGGGAGAGGAAGATCCAAGCTGAAGTCATGGGAGCCCCTTTGATTTATACCAGCTGAGAATCCGGCTCACCTAGCTCATTATCGCTCAGTTACACTAGCGACCTCCGCACATCAAATAAAATGGGATAATATTTAAACTCTAAAATATGTATGAACAGATCACATTATCCATCGTAATGAGCAGGAGTTGTTCTAGAGAGACAGCTAGCTCCTGAGAAGAGTCCTGTTCTGAGGCTGTAAGTCCCCCAGGGACAATCCTCCTAGCACAGAGGCGGGCAAACTTTTTTGGCCTGAGGGCTGCATCGGGTTTCGTAAATTGTATGGAGGGCCAGTTAGGGGAGGGGGTCGTGGCCCAGCCCCCACCTCCTATCTGTCCGTCCCCCCCCGGGACTCATGCCCCATCCAACCCCCCCCCCCGTTCCCTGATGGCCCCTCTGGGACCCCTGCCCCATCCATACACC